GCTGGCATTTGTTTCTCTTTAAAATATTTCATGAGTCACTATATTACGTATTACAAAAAGAAATAATAATAATAATAAGACACTCTTGGATTATGTACTGATACTGTTTAGAACGTGTAATTTAATGATTTTGTTCTTTCTCCGAATGTTACCATACAATATGCATTCAAAATAATGAAACCCGGACAACTTGAGTTTTGATTGATGCCGAATGACAGCGGGCTTTAGTATATATTTTATTTTATATAAACAATAAAATAACTTTGTTAGTTTATGCAGTTGCCATACGAGCAATTTTGTATGCCTGCATGGGCATTTAACATAAAGCAAAGCTACTGCAAATCCCACATGTGCTCTTCTAAAAGACAATAGCCACAATAGTTTTATGGCTCATCACTGATGGCCCAGTCCAACCAAAATCCAATCATCTCGAGTCTGTTCAATGCTCCACTTTGTCTGGGGTCGGCTTAACCCAATGCACATGGTCCAGCCCAGGCACAGGCTCAGACAAAAATTTGCTGTTGTCGACTGCTCAATTTGTTGTTTATATTGTTTTTATTGTTTGTTGCTTTTGTTGGGTTTTTTTATGTGCGGACTATTTACTTGTTCATCACTTACACGCTAGGGTAATTTAAAACAAATACCACACCAAATCGCATACGGCTTTACTTCCACTAGTTTTTATTACTCGCTCGCATATGCAGCGGCAAATTTGTTCATCCACAACAATTTGGCATGCCATTTGTATTGGCTCATGTTAATGCTGGCACAAAATCCCCAACACGACGGGCGGCATGTTGAGACCAGGTCTGGTCCTGAGCCTGTTCCCGATATACGGTCTGGGTCGTGTAGCAGTTGATCCAATTGCAGCCGCCGGTTGTCGGCCGTTGGTTGTTGTATGTTGGTTGTTGGTTGCTGTTGCAGCTGTTGTGTTTTTTAATAGACACATTAAAAAATAATTTAACAGACAAACAGCCGCTCTGATACTCACAACAAACTGCCCGTCATTGCATTGAATAAATCATAAATCATTCAGCTTTTTGGCATACAATAAAAATAAACTCTCTCGCCTGCCCCCTAACGAAAAGTACGATAAATGATAAATAAAAAAACAAATAATTCGCAGAAAACATATGACGTTGAGGTTCGGTTGATGGTTGCCATTGCCACGTTGCTATTAAATGCTACAATGCTACACATGATGCGCAGGTTGCGCCAAATTGGCCGCCCATTCTCGGTCTCAGTCGACGTTCGTGTCCACGGCGAGGCCCACGCTGACGCTCAGAGCACATGCACAATACACACACGTTTTATACTGTATGTTCGCTTTTTACACATCATAATTTTTTATGCTAGTTGACTTTTAGCCGCTCTTGTTGGCACCTTTTTTCCCCCCGAAAACCTTTTTGTGCAGTCATTCATTTTGAAGCAAGCGCCAGGACAACACCGAAAAGTTGTTGCCATGTACAAATTAATAAACGAGTAACTGACAAAAAGGTAATTTATTATTTTATACATATTTGACAAATTAATTTAATGACGCGAAGCCTCACACCATCACACCATGACACACTCACACACACACACACATACATATATATATATATATATATATACACGCACGTCCCGCTGGGATCACATGTGCCTGGAAGCCCCTTAGCTCAGTCCATCTCTCGTTTGGCGCTGCCGCCACACATAATAATTTCTCATTTAATTTTTCAATTTTAAGCGTCATTTACACATGCCATGCCATGACAGAGCTTGGTCCAGATCCCAGTTACCCCCGGCTGGCCCTTCATTCTTTGCACAGCCTGGCTGGCAGCTTGGCTTGGCTGCTGCCTCTGTTCTGGCTTTTCATTTCATATATGTACATATACGTGTATATGTACATGTTTGTGTCTGTGTGTGTGTGTGTGTGTATTTTGCATTAAAAGGTAATCATCGAAAACAGCACAGGCATGCAGTTTTCACGCCGTTGTTGTATTTTGTATGCCTGTCATTAAGTCGTCAGCGGGCACAACAAGAGCGAGAAACGCGAACCTGAACCAGAACCTGAACCACACGCCGAAGCTGACGCTATAGCAAAAGCAGATTCAGAACGTGGGCAGCAGACTGCGCGTACTGCCAGGACGTAATCAGTGGCTCAGTCAGTTGGTGACGCATGAGTAAAAACGAGCCGGAGCCGGAGCTGTAGCTGGAGCCGGGGACATGCGGCTGTCGGGGTCGATGGCGTTTCACTTGAACGTGTTGGCATTGGTCTGAAGAGCTCGTACGTTAATGGCACTAGAATCAGTTTTCATTAACGATATGCTCTGCTAGTGGGCTGACTTGGACTCGTACTCGCTGGCACGAAAAAAAAACCGCATGCGTGCGTTGCTGGAATATTTCTCGCTGGCTTCTGCGGCAGCAGCGGCTGTTGCGGCATCAGCATCGCCAACAGCAACGGCAGCGGCAACGGCAACGGCTCTGGCAATTAATAAAACACACACCTTCTGTGAAGCACACATGACCATCTCTTTCATCCTCTCTGGCACTCAATCTCATACTGCTAGCTGCACAGTGGTCTGAAGCACTTATTTATGCGACTGCGATGTGTTCGCTGCCGCAGGCATAACCCTCGCCATTGGCATTGGCGCTGGCGCTGGCGCTGTCGCTGTCGCAGGCGTTGGAACTCGCTTTCATATTGGGTGTTAAAAATTGAATTTAAAAATCTCAAACGGTGCAAAATATTTCACACGCACATTCAGCGACAGAGTTGGCGATGCTGCTGCTGAGATTTTCATATAAATCACATTTACCAACGAAAATATAATAAATAATACATGTACATACATATGCATGGGTATATGCATATACCGCAGCACATACATAAATCTTTCAGTTTGGATTTTCACTTTGGTGGCATAAATTGACACTGGCGTACAGCGTACAAATTCACGGTTACCGTCGCTGTCGCCGTCGCTGTCGCCGTCGCTGTCCCCGTCGCAGTTGCGGCACCCACAGCCACATTTGAAAACCACGCTTGAAAGCATGAAGCGTCCATCCGGCCGGCTTCGGCTTCAGCTCCAATGCAACACAGTTCGCTGACAGTAAAAACTCATTTACGCGAAATTAAATTAAAAGTTAATTAACGCTGTCAATGTGCAAAGCACTCCAGTCGGGCAAGCCGGCGAACTGGCAAACTGACAAACAGGTAAACAGTCAACTATCTAGCAACTACCTGAAACTTTGCCGGCCAAGTTGCAAAATCACCGCAAGTAAAGTTAAGCATATGCCCGCTGAAATTGATGAGAACTGGTTTTAAATGTCTGCCTGACAATTTAAGTTGCAAGGCCATCTGCGCGGCTGTGCGGCAGTTTGTCTGTGTGTCTGGCCGGACTGTTAATGCGACATGGCCTCCAGTTATGCGCACTGCGCACAGTGCGTATGGTTAATGTGACATGACCAAGCTGCCAGCCAAACTGTCTGCGTCTGCATGCTCGTTTGTCAGACTGTTTGCCATGGTAAAATCAACAACAAGATGCAACATGCTGATAATTAATTTTTAATTAAAGTCGACAATTAGAGAAGATGCGACATTGCATTCGATTGGAAGCAACCGAGCTTGAGCTTCTGGCACTAGCCGACAGGCTGCCTCTGACACTGTTCAAAGTCCTTCCTTTACGTCATATGATACTGGTTCTAATTTCATGTTCCAGACAATCCCAGCGGCTAACAGGAATAAATTGGTAGATAAGGTTTTGACACATTTTATTTTTTTGGCACAGCTCAGTGAATTTGAAATCTCCCTCGCAATTCATTCGACAATTTATTTGTAACAAATAAACAAAATTCCAGCAATTATTAAATCGAAAACAAATTTACTTCTTTTAATTAGTCAGCTCGAATTGCAGACAAATATACAAAATTTTCTTATTTCAGTTTAAAATAATTAAATAATTCTACATGCTTTTGATATCCGTACACAGAGAAAAAACTCTTAGAAATTGGTGCTTAAATCAAATTAAGACAGTAATATCGGAAATAAGTGACTCAAGTATCTGATTCTTATCTTGGGTATGACTTTTTTTTTATTTATTATTATTTAATAACTTTATGTATCACAGAAAAGATTAATTCAGAGATCCTGAGATCCTGAGAGATAAACAGATTTCAAATTGAAGTTCTATGCATAAATCCATTATTTATGGATGCACATATATAAGTAAATGTATCAATTAAAGTTAGGCGAACGAACGTACATAATACAATAAGCAAAACTTACAAATATTTACTCGGTCTTGTGATTCGCGATGGCGGCATCTTATACTTATCTACATAATTATCTGTTTGAATTTAACCAATTCCATTTGGGAAAGCAAAAGTTCTTTTTATTGTTTGCTCTCGATTGCTTTGCTTATTCGATCCTTAAGCACCCCAGTTTCAGAGATATTTGATATTTAATTAATTTTGATTTTTCTTGAATTTTGAAACATTTTTTTGCGTGATTCAAGAATTTATGCTCTTGAAGACCATTTTAAACTTTTTGTAACTATGTAAAACTATTATTTTATTTAAGAACCTTGGGTTGATTTGTCCTTAGCCCATGGTTTCTTCTCTGTATACACAAGTAATTATTTCAAACAGACTTCGTGGAAATTGCATAATATCTTGAATATAGCCCTTTTTTTATATTAAACTAATCAAGTAATATATATTTGATGTGCTTGTCCTTAAAAGTTTGTTCAAAAATTATGAGCTTAAGCTTAAAATAAATATTTTGCAATACTCAATAAACATTGAATCTATAAGCGTAAATCCCACATGTTATCAGAAAGTTAACAACTTCTGGCAGTCAATGGGCTTGGCGAACTTACTTAATGCGAGTTGTCATTGGGCCACAGCGATATTGTAAAAAATAAATATATATAAATATACTTGTAGATTGGCAATTCGAACTGCACTCTTACGGCCAATTTCGTAACGAAAATTAAAGATAACATAAATGTGCCTGGGCTGACATGGTATACGGTATGCGGCACGCCATGCTGCCAGTTTCTGTTGAAGTCCCAGTTGCAGTTGCAGTTGCAGTCCGGCGGATTCCGTGCCGGCACATCAATGTCGTCGCAATGGCATGCTATTTGAATTGAACAAGTGTCAGCGTCAAGGGGATATAGTGTCGGAGGCGTGGCCCTTTTGGGCCTTTTCCGTTGGGCCTACTATTGCTGTTGCAGTTGTACCAGTACTGTATTTGCGTGCCCTGCCAGTGCAGAGGACGACAATGCTCTCAAAACTCAAAATATTAACACTTTAACGCCAAGTTTTTTATCCGGCTGCCGGAAGCAGACAACACAGCCCTCACACTCAGACAACCACACACACACATAGAGGAACTCACACAGACACATATATACAAATAAACTGTAGCGGTCGTTACGGTGGCAAAACGCCATGTTGGATTATTCAACTCGACGCCATTTCGCGTCACAATGCGCGCTATGCGCCGCCATCATTGCACTCGACAGCAAACGGCAACAGCAACAGCAACAGCAACAGCAACGGCAATGGCAACGGCAGCGTAGCGACGGCACATGCTGCCAACGTTTGCAACGGCGGCCAACGCGGCGGATGAAGTTGCAATTCAAAGTCATAAACACGTGCAGCGTGGGCGCAAAGTCGCAGCTAAGCTGCGAGCAGGCGCTGTTACTGACATCAGCAATAGCAACAACAGTGCCAGCACTTCCTGCCTTACAGAAATAGAGAGACTGAGAGAGAGAAGGGGAAGTGTAAGCATTCGAGAGGGAGAGTGATCCCCACAAAGCCGGGAACGCTGCCCTTTTGTTTCCAAGCCATTTTGTTGCCGACGCGTCGGTCTGCTGTTCGTTTTTCATTTGCATGCAAAATTCAAACATCAGCATAAAAATGCAATTTTTATTGCTCAACATTTCTCAACGCCCGCTGAAAATATTTTCGCGGGTTTTTATTATTACCATTTTTGTTTTTTTAATTTTTTTTTTTTTTGTTATGTTCTTATATTTGTGTACTTTCTTTCTTCTGCTATTGTTGTTTGTTTGATTCGGCTTGTTATTGTTGTTGCCACTGTTGGCTGCTGCCTCATATTTATTTTGAGTTTTTATTTTTGCCCCGTAGCATGCACACCGTTGCCGCCTGCACTAGCTCCGGGCCACTAGCAGCGGCAGGAGCATGCAACCACCCAAAATTTCCACCCACACGGCCTCCTTTATGAGCTGCACTTTATGAAAATGCAGTTGCCAGTCCGCTGGCGTCGCACCGTTGGAATTGCCATTGCCTTGGCGATGCCCGTTGCTTCGAGTACATTGCAAATATTTTATTATTGCAAAATTCTGCCAACTTATCCCGTGCGCATGTGAATCTTAGTGGGGTCTGACTAGGTTTGAGGCTTCGCTCCGCTTTGACCGCCCCAAGGCAGCAGGAAGGATGCAGCAAGCTAAAAATAATATTTCGTTGCAATTGCAGTTGTTTTGCTTTGTTTGTGTTTTTGTTTGTTTTGATATTTTTTCTTCCCTTTTTGTTTTGGTGTTTTTTTTTTTTTGTTTGTCGGTTCGTTTAGTTGAAATTACGTTTTGTGTGCCACTGAATTTCATAGCAGCAGCGGCAACACCAGCAACAACAGAAACAACAACTTGAGCCAAAAAACTTGCTTTCGGTTGTTATTATTCTTGCGTTTACTCCCGGCAAATTTGCCGTGTGCCGCCTTGCCCGTCTGCTTTTGCTGTTGTTGTTGTTATGGACACCACCACAAGCAGCAACAGCAGTAGCAGCAGCAGGAGCAGGAGCAGTAGGAGCAGCCGGAGCAGCTCTATTCGCTGGCATTGCATTCCGTTACGGCACGAGTCTCAGCCGTAGAAGCAAGCTCTTGCTTGTGTTTTGGTTTGGATTATTTTTTTCATGCTGCTTTTTCCAACATTTTAACTTCCGCTCAATTTACCTTTAGGCCAAGTAATTTAAAAGCTGACGTGTTTGTACAACTACAATTTCGACTCATGTTACTGTTGCTGTTGTTGTTGGCATTGCCTGTGTATAGCACTTCCTGGTGTAGATTTTTGCTAGGTTTGCCGCTTGTTCTGCTTCTTGGCTTTTGCTGCTTATTTTTTTTGTTTTTGTTTTGTTGTTATTTTCATTTGTTTTTTTTTTTGCGTTTTTTCAAATTATTTAATAGAAGAGAACGAAATTTGCTGCTGCTCTAACGTATATTTTGTTTATTTGCCCTCCGTTTGACTGCCACTTGTGATAGTCAAGTTTTTGATGGGCCCGGTCTAAAAGCTAAGGCAGCCAAAGCTGTTAAAACTGTTTGCCTTGGCTAATAGTTGGTAAAGCAGCAAGCGGCTCCCAAGGTAAATATTAATTAAAGTCGATAGTAAATGGCCAAAAACGTTTCATTCGTCTGTTTTTCTTTGGTGCTGCCCCAGCACCTCGTACAGTTTCTTTAGCCTCTGTTTGACATGTGAGCACGCAATTTCCTTGATTGGCCACCTTTAATGACTGAAGGCGCTCGCTTAGCTGTCTGAATCGAAGGATATTCATAACATATCAGAAAGCCTAGCATACTATTTGGGGATCCGACAAAAGTTTTCATGCACGCCCGTGAATAAGATTGTTTTTGCGAAAGTGTGCATGTGTGTATAAGAACAGTTAACGCCATTGTTTACGTTCAGTCTGGGGCAGCCAGCATCCAGGCATTGCTTGCCAGTCCGCTTGCCAGGAAAGCCAACGAGTCTGTTAGCCAGCCCGCAGCCGCAGGCAGGAACAGAACCAGTAGCCACAGCTTCAGCTTCAACATCACCATCGGCGGCAGTCTGCCATGTGCTGTTGCTGGAGCTGCATTAAGTGAAGTATTGTTTCTGCTAGATTAATCCTGTTTTAATTAAATATACACGCTGCCAGCACAAAACCAACAAGACTCTCTAGCAAAAAGGCTGAATGCTGGGAAATATTGCAGGCCGCAGTACGCAGTTCGCAGTCCGCAGTCCGCAAACCGCTTCCCCCAAACCGTTATTCACAGCCAGCAAATTCGACTTCTGACGTCATGCAAATTTGTGCGCCAGCTTCGGCTCCGGCTCCGGCTCGTTGCTGGCGCTCCACACGGATTGACAAAGTGACTTGACTGATAGAGCAAGTGGATGAGGGAAGTAACAGAGCGCAGCGACAGAGGCGGCAACAGAGATGCCGACAGTAGTTGCAGTTGCAGCTGCAGTTGCAGCGGCAGCAGCAGCCCACATGAATGCGTGCATTCGACCTCGCTTTCATTATTTATATTTCATGTGATTCCAGCGCTTGCAGTTTTCTTGTTTTTCTTCGTTTTAAGAAAACAAGAAAATATACAAACGAGAAAAAAATGTTTTTTTATGCAGTCACTGCCAAGGCAGTCCCGTCGCTATCAAAGCAAAAACATCCAGCACTTCCTTGCAATTTTCGTAGTAAATTAAAAACGCTGCGTTTTTTTTATAAGAGCTCAGTAAAATAAGTATGTAAAAGGTAGAAGAAAATCTCAGGTTGCTATGTTGCGGCTGCCAACGTTTGTCATGCATGCAGCATTGTGTTGCCGCATGCAGCATTGCGATAGAAACTTCAAGCTTAAGCATTGCATAATTCGAGGTGTTTTTCACATCTAGACGTAAGATCTAAAATCCAGCTAAGTGCATTTTAAGTTTTCAAGTTATTAAGTTGCAAATCGCATAGATGTAAGCACCACATACCAAGATCAAAAATTATGATAGAAAAAATATACTAAACAGCTTATCCCTTGTCCAGCTTAAGTAGTATATGCTATGCAAATTCATATAAATAGTTCGTATTGTTTGTGAAACAATAAGCAAAATGGACATACAATAATTAAATGCACTAACGTAAATGCTGACCGTAGATAATTAAGATTGAGAATTAAGGTTATTAAATTAATATGCAAACTCTATGTTCAATTATTACAATAAACATCAAATATAGTACAGCATCCTTCTATGGAATTTGTGTGTTGGTTGGATTTAATACCAATAGCTGAGGCGCACCTCTAAGTCTTGTGTTCTATTACGGCGTAAAACTTTGGCATCTTTAACCGCACGATGCATTCTAACAGTTTACGGCTTACGGTTGGCTGGCTTTCACTTTTAAGTACATTCTGCTGCAGCGTCGTCTTCAATTTCGGCACTTTCTGCCCAGACTCTCAATGTGGTCGCATGCAATTTTCTGTACTGGCGTACTTGACAATGTGTGTGCATGCTGTTATGTATGTGCTATACACACAAAATTACAAGTGTGTGCGTGTGTAAGTGACTGAAATGTAAGTGTGCATCTCTGGTGCATACTTAAGAATGTGTAAACATATGCACTGCCACAAGTGGCCATTAAATTTGGTCTTTAATATTCGTACCCACCCACCCATCAAATGGTACATGCATATGTGTTTTGCCTTAAAAATTAACCCACAACTTTTGCTCATACACATTCCTTATTTTGAGCCAATAAAACAAAGGCTTTAGCCATTTGAAATAAATGCCAAACGTGGAACCAACGCTACCTCAAATGCAAAAATATCAAACACTTCTATTTGCTTGTGTTAGGCTTTAAAAAAGTTTGCAATTTATTTGTTTAGTGTACAATTACCAACGTATGCGTCTGGCATGCACAGAGCTATTTTGAATAAAAAAACATATATGTGTAATTGAATTGACAGCTTAACTGGCAATGTTAGTGGCTCGAATACTGTATATATTCCTACCAAAAACTTTGGGAATGCAACCTCATTTATTAGTTTAATTTGGTATTCGTAGAATATATGCACTAAGCTACGATAAACAAGTAAGAGGTTCTAGTCGGGAGCTCCCGACTAGGGGATACCCTGAACCCTCTTCTTACAACATCAAATGCATATATATATTATATTTTAGAAGCTATATGTCAAGTTTGGTGACTCTAGCTCTTATTAGTTACCAAAATTGCCCAAAAAAGCTTGCTTGGAAACGGAGTAAGTTATCGATTATCGGAAATAAACTCGATCTGCGCGGGAACTAGGAGCACCTACATCTACATTTCAAGTCTCTAGCTCTTATAGGTTCTGAGATCCTTGCGTTCATACATACTGACGGACGGACGGACAGACAGACGGACATGGCTTGATCGACTCGGCTATTGGTGCTGATCAAGAATATATATACTTTATGGGGTCGGAGATGCTTCCTTCTGCCTGTTACATACATTTGGATTTTGCACAAATACAATATACCCTTATACCCATTTTTAATGGGTTCAGGGTATAAAAATGCATCAAAAAAGCGCAAAAAGATAAAGGGAAAACTCTGTTTAAATAATCAACTCTAGAATAATAGAAAATGTTTATAAACTCAGTTTGATTCGGTCTCTTTTATATACAAGAATATTGTTTTATTTTTTTTAAAGTCATATATTTTTGCTTAAATATTCAATTTATAAATTATATATTGACTAATTTTTACACAAAAAAATATAAGATTATTTATATTTCACATTCCAATTGGGGCCAGCACTAACTTACTTACATGCATAAAAAATATGCAAATGTAATACATAAATAATTTATACACAAACACAGATAGAGAGCGCATAGATGTAAGTGGCTGCAATATCTATTAAAACGTTGCCAATGAAAAATTGCACTGTAAATTGCATGTGCTTTGGCTATGTTATAACCAAAATTGATAACAATCAATATGGACATGTGCAAGTGTTGTTGCTGTTGAGCGCGGACCGGAACTGTCGCAGACATGAAGCCCACAACATTGTATACCGCACACCA